ATTCATAAAAAACCTTCAGATCATATAACATTTATCAAATTATCTACAAGGACAATTCGTTCAGGCCAGTCTCACTACACTGTAGATTAATGGACTGACACCTATAAAACAACTACTACTCCCCTGAATAATACCACGAAGGGCGTTGGATTATATCCGNTTTAGGCGTGGAAAAGTAAAAACGTATATACATATATTACATTCATCCATCCTAATGAACTTCACGCATTTATAATATTAGTAGGAGTAGGATTAGTAGAATTAATAATGTATTTCATTTTAATCCCTTCAGTTTTTTTGTGAAAAAAACATTGTACTGAATTTCGTCTAATTTGAAGTTAAAAACCTGAAACATGTCTTTTTATCAAAATGTATAAACGATCTTCATTCAGCTTGGATATTTAGGAATACTTAGTCCTAAGAAAATAATCCTGCTTCCAACAAACGAGTTACACTCTTGTGACTACATCTATACGAGTACATGCAGCACAATGAACATGAGATAAATACCAAGGAGGATAAGGACTCAGAAGATATAAGACACTCTCAAATCCAAATAGACTTCAAATGCTGGATAAACCCGATTTACATATTATCCACTTAGAGAAAATAAACTCAGTGGCGCAGTCTGCACAAATACACCGCAATCGGAGATAATGTAATTTGAACTGTACTGAAGAGACTAAGTGAATTTGTCTATGTAGTGCCTCAGGGAAGTGTAGTTTGTTTTAGGTTATCTAGGAGAGTATTCTGGCAACTGAGAAGCCGGTTGAAGAAAAACTAACCATAGCACTCAGGCTTGTATTGTTAGGAACGATACAATGTTTGACATCGTAAAGTAATCACCTTTGTGATGACTACACTTTGTGGATTCAAGAGCTATATCTGACTTGAAGAAATGATCCCCAAAAAAAGAATGTGGAAAATTACCATGACAAAAACAATCTAGAACTGAATATGTATTTATCAATAACAATAATATACTGATATACTGAAGAGGATTTTTCATTTAGCTTTTTTGAAAAACTGTTATAAAACAAAAAAACTCAACACATACTAGAACGAGCGCAATGTTTTTAATGACCTTCTTTGAGTATTCTCACTTTGCATGATCTGAAAAAATTTGAAATTCTAATGTGTATACAGGGCAGAGTTTTTAGTTCATCCCGACAAGTTGATGCGTAAATCCAAAGTAAGATCACTGATAAAAATATTTTATTTACCAGCAACCTGTCGTTTGCGTATCAAAAAAAAGATTGGAAATTATACTAGGTTGTTTCAAAAGTTTTGTCCATTTTGATGATATGTGTTTTTTGTAGCTCCATATCTCAATAAATATTTATTCTATTGTGTCCTGATATATCGATTGAAAATTTTGTGCATTCCATTTAAAACGAGCCACCCTGAGTAACTTTTGGAACAATGATTTTCAGGAAAAATAAAAAAACTCCTAAACAATAGTATACACTAGGACACATTTTGACATATTCACATTTGATCTCACTTTCCCTATCGCAGCCCCAGAGCATGTTAATATTTTTTTGAAAGGATCAATTGTTTTGCATTATCAGATGATTCATGATGAACAGATTTAAACAAAGTAGAATACATTATGGTCTGAAGCTCATAGTTTGGAAGCTAAAAATTATCTGAGTTGAAAACAAGCCACCCTGAATTAACTTCTGTACAATCTGTTACCTAGGTTTCATAGGTGTGTTTGTGAAGTATACTTCAAAGAAGTCTTATTTTGCGTAGTCAAGTTTGAATTCGATATTCTCTTCATTTTGTATTCATCTCATTCTACGATAACGATTACCTACCAGGTGAAATTACAATTGATGTTTCTGTTTTTGTGAATTCAAGAGAAGCAATGGTTTATACGCTACGAGAACGGATTGAAATGGTGAGTTTGTACTACCAGAATGGAAATAGTGCTAGAGCTGCTGCCCGTATGTTCAATGATAATCATCCAGGAAGACATGTACGACATAAGGTTGAGTGGAAGAACAACCCAGTAGCACTTGTGCTAACTGAGTTGACTTCGCCTTTTGTTGGTAAATTTATTTTCGTTTAAATATATTTCAATTTTTTTTCAACAATCGATGCGCTCAACTGTTTCTACAGCGTCATGTCCATAGCATGGAAGTAACGTGTCATCTGCAAATAAATTTAAAAAATCATAATCTTGTATATAATTTACATCATTCAGGTAAATTATAAACAGCAGTGGTCCCAGGACGCTCCCTTGAGGCCTATAATATTTGAAATTTCATTTGAGAAACATTTCCCCACTCTAGTTACTTGTGATCTGCCATTGAGATAATGTTTGAACCAATTTAAGGCTATTCCATCGATTCCATAATATCTCAGTTTACGAAGAAATATTTGCCTATCGACAGTTTCAAATGCCCTCTTGAAATCAAGGAACACTGCCACTATAAATTTATCACTATTGACTTCATTCTTCCATTTTGAAACTGTTAATTGAAGGGCAGTTTCACACGAGTGGTGTTCTCTACATCCGGATTGATTTCCTATAAACAGGTTATTTTCAGTAAAGTACCTAGTGATTTGTTCATGTACAAAACTTTCTCAATAACCGGTAAAGTATTTATTGCTCTGAAGTCTGACATTTCAACTGAATTATTTATTTTTGGGATGGGAATAACTGTACTTTTTTTCAACATATTTGGAAAGTTACCGGACGACATTGATGTTTGTATTAAGTTTAGGATATGAAATCCAAGTGTAAAAAATGTTGATTTAAAAATGTAGCAGACATCACTTCATCAGCATTGCTTTTATTTTTGAGAGAAAAAATGATTGACTTCAGCTTACTTATATCAATCTTCTCGAATTCAACAAATCTCGTTTCTATATTATTTTGATTTTGAGGAGACCATTGTTCTACACTTACAATAGAATTGGAAATATCTTCAATACTTTCAACAAAAAATGAATTGAAGTTGTTAGCAGCTTGTAGCTCCGTTCTCGCTTTGACGACAGCGCCATTAGTACTAAAATTGATAGATTTGAAATTCAATGGTTGTTTGTCACATTTTATCAACATTTTCATTGTTTTCCACATTTCCCGCAAGTTATCACTATTCGTATCAATTTTGTTTTTATAGTATTGAGACTTTTTGATTTTTAACATATCAACAACTTGATTCCGTCTCAGTTTATATCGCTTCCAGGACTCCTCCTCTTTCTCAATGCCGGAACTTCAAATGAATTCTTTGTAACCCCTGTCTCCAAGTTTCGAAGCAGATCTGATTTCGTCATCATACCAGAGGACTTGATTTGATTTATTCTCAATTTCAACTATTGGCGCAATATCATTTAATAGTATTTCACATTTTGACTCAATATTACTGTATATTTCATTCACATCATTAGACCCGTTCAACCAATCGCATTCAATTAGTTGCAAATTAATTTTATGAAAAACGTCATCATTTAGTCTTCGCGTACAAAATGTATTACTCACTATTTGATCTTTGTTGTGTAAGTTTACGGTTATTATAAAGTGATCTGAATTACTGGTTCATGATGTATACAAACTTTCACATTATTTTGATTTGATAGCACATAATCAATTGAAGAAGAACTATGAGATGATTTGGATAAACGTGTCGAGTTTTGTGAAAGTGTCACTGAACGGATCAACTTGCATAAAAATTTCTTGCATAAAATTTGTTTTTCGGATGAATGTACGTTTAGTTTGAATGGAGAGGTGAATCGGTAAAATTGTCGATATTGGAGTGATACGAATCCTCATTTATACCGTCAAGTTCATTCCCAACGACCTCAAAACTGAATATTTGAGCAGAAATTTCAGGTGACCACATCATGGCACCTTTATTCATCGATGATAATTTGACTAGTGATAAATGTTTGGATATGTTGGAGAATCGAATAATACCGTGAATCAATAGGGCAATTGAGAAGGATATAAATTTATTCGAAAACGAAATAGTGTTTTAGTAGGATGGTGCACCTCCTCATTATGCAGCTCTAGTGCGACAATTTTCGGATGACCATTTTCCCGGTCGCTGGATTGGCAGGAGAGGTCCTACAGATGGGTCACTAAGGTCTCCGGATCTCACACCTGTAGATTTCTTTCTACGGGGTCATTCGAAGTCTAAATTGTATGAGATAGAATCAACAATATTAGAAGATTTGAGAAAGAATAACATGAGGCATTACAGAGAAATACCTCTCGAGATTCTCAACTATGCAAGGGCGGCAATGGAAGCTCCTTTGAACCATTGTTTTGAAGTTGGTGGAAACGTTTTTCGATGAGGTTCACCAGTTGCTCTCCACTCAGATGACTATCGTTTTGATTCCGAAGTGCAGTGATGGATCCATGTTTCATCCATTGTTCATAATAATTTCAAAGCCATTGCTTTGCTTGAATGGTATTTTTTCCAGTCAAAAAGTAGTGTAAAATCAAAACAAGAAATTGTTCTTGATCCATTGTTTTGAAAATAACAAAAGTAGTGTCACTCTCAGCACAATAAGTCACGAACTTATGAGTAGAATATCATAAAAATTCAACAGCTCTCTTTTGGTTAGTACTAACTGAAAAAGTGATGGATGCAATAAGACTAGTGCCATCTATGTGTTAGGCCCGAGACTTTTCAGCCCAGGTTGTACATTATAGGAATCAAATGTTTTTTTTATTTGAATTTGAATACAGAGGAGTATATTGATTTCTAATATTTTTTTTTCAGATGAACTGCATCTTTCCCAAAAATCGTATGAATACAAAATAGTGCTCATCTATGAAACTGGACTGAAAAATTTTACATGAAACAGAAACAGTCTCCGCTAAGCAGTGAATAATTTGTGATTCTAAAGAAGTACATGTGTGGATTCTCTTAGAAAACTTTACTTGTGAATAATGCACTAAACTGACTCAGTGACAGTGTACAGAACACGTTCCTAATGGGGGCAGGACATTATTTGCCGATTAACTCGGCCGCTTCGCACAAGTTTCGTGGTTTCCTGTAGTCTTCTACTTCTCGTTTTGCATTTAGGTAAGTTCCTATATTATATGCATGATTTGATACTCGATTAGATCTCAATATTGAAAATATGCAATCCTGGAACTTGTGATGCACTGTTTGGAACCTTTGGTGTAGTAATGAATATTACTGGAGTTCCTTCCCAACACCAAATCGTTATTTTTAACACCCCGACATGTGTTTCGATCACCAAGTGATCATCTTCAAGAGGAAGATCAAACTGTAGTTTAGTCTTCTTATCTGTAGGGCTTATGTTTTGTCCTCAAAAAAAAAAGTTTTCTAATATTTTTCAATCACTTAAGTTGGTATAAACATATATTTCACAAGTTAAAGATCCAATTGTTGATGAGTATCAAAAGATAAATAGAAGTATATTCCATCGTTTTCCAATATTTTCCATTTGATAAAGTGTTAGAAAATAGTCAACCGTCACTGAGACTTTGATATATAACCTTCGTCCTCACAGTTAACGCAGTACCACTGAAGATGTCTGTCACAGTAGTAGACGAAATGTTTGGTACTTCAGGTTCCATTCTACCACGGCCTACTATATTTGATTCTGTTCTTTTCAATAGTGTACACAGCTTGTATATTTTGAACAGATTCGATGGAATTTCTAATAATCATTTTTGAGTGAAAACTGGTCCAAAGTCGAAACTGAAACTTCACTACTTTCAGAAACGAAAGAGGTTTGCTAGGCAACATATTATATGAAATATATATATAAATGATCTTGTAGGAAAAAAACCCAAAAAGGAAGTAGATTTGGAGTTGAATCCGAACACATAAAACCGCAAATAGGATTTGATGACATTTCTGTTAGGATCTTTGAAAATCTTCCAGATAATGCTCTGGACCATCTAGTATCTCTGATAAATGGATCCTTCAAAGAAGGCATATTTCCACAGTTTCTCAAAACATCAATTGTCATATCGTTCTATAAAGGTGGTGAAGTGAGCTCTCCTAGAAATTTTAGGCCCATTTCACTCATTCCTACGTTAGCCAAAATCATCGAAGGACTCGTTGAGAAAAGAATGTTTGACTTTTTGCAGGCGTGTGATATAGTTTAATTTAGCGGCTGTAAATGAAGGTAAGTTTATTTACTGGACAGAATGAATTAGATTATATCTTACCAAAAATGGAACAGAATATCAAAGGTTCCAAAATTGCATTCCTTGTCTTGATGTTCCTTTAGGAAAGTATGGAACTTCAGAAGCCAGATTCGATCATATGAATATTGATAAAGTAGATCCATTGTCTATATCAAATGGTTGTTTTCGTGAAGCCATAGAACCATTTCCGATGACAGATATGTATGTTGAGAAAGTAGCAATAACTTTTGTCTTGATCACAAGATTTAGAGCACCAGCTGGAAAAACTGCCAAATAAGACAATTTGAGAGTTTTTCATTTGAAGAATTTTTGATAGTTTTGGGATCTTAGCATTATGGAACTGTTTTCTACCATACTTGGTACAATAAAATGTTGTTCTTTTGAGAGTTGGTCAGCTGATTCATCAAGGATATTACTTGGTGTAGAAATTCTTTCAAAAGAAAATTCGGGTGGAATCAGTTGTGCTGAAATGGTATATGGAACAACATTGAGAATTCCAGGGAGATGATTATAGAAAAAACTCAATCTAAATCATGAAGAATTCTTGACGAAATTGAAAATCAGAATGAAGGAAATGAACATATCCCTAACAGGTTCTGACCACACTGACAGAAAAATGCTTACCCACAAAGAACAACTCAGTGCTATTCACATGTATGTCAGAATACATTATGTGAAGAAACTTTTGCATCAATTATATTTATCTATAAAATAAAAATATTTTACCTTATGGAATAATGAAAGCATATGTATCTGTGGAAATTAGTACTACACGTTCCGTCTGCTATTGCGACGAACATCTTCAGTGTTATATGCATTGACTGCGAGTATCTCGAAGTCTCAGCAACAACTGACTCAGCAATAATCGTTCATGAGACTTCGAAATACTACCTTCGTCCTCGCAATCAACTCATATACTACCGAAGATGTCTGCTGCAGAACATATAGACATGAGTCTTGAGACGTGAGTCCAAAGTTTCCACTGATGGAAAATGCATTTCATGTGAATTGAGTTCAAGTTTTCGAATCAACGTTTGAAATCAGTTGTTTTACTAAATGAGTTTCTAAACAGTTTTCTGTTCTTCAGTGGAAGATACATTATTTTTGAAGGAACATTGTTTGGAGTTATACCAATCTCATTGAATACCGAATGTTTCTTGTTCATGACGTTTGAATCACGGCAAACTGAAACAGCATGAAATAGAAGAGCGATGATGATATCCAAACTCGATAGATGCTTTACACTTATCAGCATATCAAAATACGTCAATGAATGTTCAATACACAACTTCGAATCGTGACAAAAATGTGAACGCTAGACAGCACGTGGAACTTTCCACAAACAATGAATAACACGTATTCACATTATAATGGAGAACTTTCTAACTTTCGTCGAACATCTTTGGATTTCAATCGTTACTTGCTTTGAATTTTCTGTTTTTCACTTAAATTTTCTGAACGTCATCGTCCACGAGGCTAACGAAAATATAAACTTCGTTGACTTTCCTACAAGTCTTGTTCGCTAAATAGCAGAATTGAAAATCAATCGAATTCACCACTTAATAAAACAATTCTTTCGAGAAAAGAGGTTGAATCATACTCTGCAGCTCTATTTGCTTTATCAATGATAATGATAAGGAGAATCACATAATATATTATGTACTTTGTCATGATTTATTATGTATTCGTAATTGCCATGAACGCAAATTTCAGCAGAGTGTTTCTGTTAACGTTGAGAATACGCACTTCAGTCTTTTCACTCACATTCCTTGCTCAGGAAGTCTACACATTTCTATTTGAATTTATGATGAATATCACTGAAGTTTTTCCCAACACCAAACCGTTATTTTAACACCTCGACAAGTGTTTCGATCACAAAGTGATCATATTAAAGAGGAAGATAAAAAAAGTTTGATCTTCCTCTTGTAGTATGAAGCCAAAACTTTTACTTCCAAAAAGTATCATTTCTATATTGATTGAGTCTGGACCTGCATTCATTTCCGAATATTCATAGTGTGTCTTTCAAATTCTGTGTATTTTCAACGAAGTCAAAGTTCCATTCAAAATACCCAAATGGAAACAATAATGGCCAAATGGAAATATATCCATCCATTATCTCTACCATATAACGAAAAAGTGAATAAATTGAAAAACATTCCTAACATTATTATCGAGGGGTGTTCTGCTTCTTCAATACAATTATTTTCAGATTCTCTTTAAACTTATCTAACTTCATCTCTTTCAAACTGTTTGGAATTTCATTGTAAATTTTTGAGATCTGATAACTGTACGATCTTACATATTATTGTGTTTTGTGCAATGGGGGTGTTAAACGCTCTTCAAACCTCAAGTTCAATGTATGTACCAACAGTTTTTGAGATTATCACATTCAGACAAACACGGCGGAGAATTTAATCTATTTAATTTATTGATATATAATATGCCAAACGGTAATATCCAACAAAATAACCACCAGACAAAACTGACGAAATTCAATACAATCTTTGAACCCCCATTTTCTCCCCTTGGGGTAAAAATTCCTGATTCCCTTTCTTGATGCTTATATACTCTATACAAAGACCCTACCTGCATATTTAAAGATTCTGGGTTTAGTAGCAATAGGTACCCACTTATACAATACAAGCTCTTCCCCGCTGTTTAACCGCGTTACCGTGGCAACGTACCCTATTTGTTATTCCAGGTCATAATCTATATATAAGAATAACACGTATTCACATTATAATGGAGAACTTTCTAACTTTCGTCGAACATCTTTGGATTTCAATTATTACTTGCTTTGAATTTCCTGTTTTTCACTTAAATTTTCTGAATGTCATCGTCCACGAGGCTAACGAAAATATAAACTTCGTTGACTTTCCTACAAGTCTTGTTCGCTGAATAGCAGAATTGAAAATCAATCGAATTCACCACTTGATAAAACAATTCTTTCGAGAAAAGAGGTTGAATCATACTATCTATTTGCTTTATCAATGATAAGAAGATGTACCTATAGAGTTGGAGAATCACATAATATATTATGTACTTTGTCATGATATATTATGTATTCGTAGTTGCCATGAACGCAAATTTCAGCAGACTGTTTCTGTTAACGTTGAGTTTACGCACTTCAGTCTTTTCACTCACATTCCTTGCTCAGGAAGTCTACACATTTCTATTTGAATTTATGATGAATATCTTCCTATTTTTTATACCACTTGCATTTGTAACCAACGTTACTGTAATCTTCAAACGAATACAATAAACTGATATGATTGATAATGTTGACCCTCATATATCTGTATACCACTGTAGGTAATAACAGGTCCCTACACTCTGGAGAACGTAGATGAAATGTTAACTTTCTTCAATAATAACATAATAGCTGAATTGAAGGGGTTATATTTTTAGGAGTGATTAATTTTTGGGAAAGACAGTTTTTGACTTACTACTACTCCATCTTGATAAAAAAATGTGGGAATCTTCCAAAGAAAGGAAGGAAGTAATCAATTTTAAAATAAGTAACTATATATGGATGTGTAGATCATGCAAAAAAGCAACTTTCAGATACAAACTAGGACAAGTGTTTTACAGTGAAACATCGGCGTCTACCAGTGAGGATGAAAGTGTTCCATGTAAGTGCAATTTGTTACCATTCATTTAAAGTAGAACTCTTGTGAATGATATCTGATATTATTCCATAACGAATGTTTGGAATACAAACTGAGTAGTGAAAAGTATCTTATGTATAATTCAGTTTTCATATAAAAGTATTTGTTTCGAAAGAATTTTNGACTGACACCTATCAGAAAACAACTACTCCCCTGGCTAATACCACGAAGGGCTTTGGATTTTATCCGACAGGTGTCAGTGCAGGATTCTTCACTGAAGTTATTCCTGCAT